GCCAAACACCACTATTCTTCAAAGACTTCGATCCGTTCACTATGTCTTCGGCCGCTGGAGGTGGAATCGGGTCACCGTTTCTGGGAGAAGATACCAACCAATATACGGCTCCTGCTGCGAAGATAGATGCCAGATGATCTTGTATCGCCCGTCGAACTACGATTCCGAACGAAACATAACACCAAATGAACGTAGGAATGTCAGATAATGGAACACGTCGTAGCGCTTCGCGGCAACATGAGAATCCGTGAGAGCTTCCCACGGGTTCACAACGTCGATGGGGTACGCATGCTCATCGTTTCCCACCTTCAGCCCCACCACGCCACCGACCAATGTAGGCAACCAGTCCGATACATGGATCAGCCGTTCACTCTCAGTACCTTTGAGTGCTTCTGAAATGCCTGACCAATAAAACAAGGCAGCAAGTACTCGCACCCCCCCTCGTAAGCCGATCCTTTTACTCCGCGCAATGGCCAATTATTGCCATCATCGCCGGGCTTGACGCTACCGCCATTGTCTGATGTCAAGACAAGTAAGGTGTCACCCCAAATACCTGAAGACTTGTATGTAACGGTCACGCTTTTTATGCCCTCACCGAGTGTCAGCATCATGCCACAACAGATATCCCGCTGATTCTCCGAAGTCGCCCCAACATGTCGGCATCGTAACGTGTACTCGTCCGGGGCTGTCAGCGGACCGTGCATGGCTTGGTACGCCAAATCCATGAATGTCTTATCTGAGTTTCCCTTACGACCGACCCTGGAAATCCAACGTTGGGCTTTCTTGGTGTAAACGTGTGTAGAATAGACGTCATTTTCAAACTGTGCATCGAAGTTGTCGTGGAGGTCGACAGCTTTTCCCCATCTATTATGGTAGTAGGTCTGAGCAACACTATGAACTCGACAGGAAAAATCGAAACCACGGCACGTTGGTGTGTGATCCCACGTGATCGTTCCTGCGTCCCACTTTCTGATAGCAGCCGTCTTGAAGCCACCCTTGTGCAGACGATCCGCCACAATACTCACATTCGTTGGTAAGTCTATCGGCCGAACATCGTCCCCGCTCTATCGAGCCCAAAGCTGTAAGCATAACGGCCGCTTGAGCCCAAATGGCTACGGAGGCAATCTTGGGGGACTCTTGGGGCTGTTCTGGGGCGGTCTGGGGGCCCTGGGCCGTCGAATAGCCGTCTTGGGCCCGTCTTGGGCCATCTTGGGCTCATGGTAGCCGTCTTGGGGCGCCCATCGGGCCCGCCTGAAGCCTCCTGGGGTCCTCTGGGGCCGTCTTGGGCCCTCCAGGGGCGACTGCGACTCAGGCTCCCTGGACGCACCCAGCATTGTGTCGGGCCATTTTTCTATGAATAAGGGAGCCGATTTAATTAGTCAAGCGATGTGTATGTATATATGTATGTATGTATGTCTAGATATGTCTAGGTCTGTGTGTCTGTCTGTCTGTCTGTCTGTCTGTCTGTCTGTCTGTCTGTCTGTATGTATGTATGTATGCATGTACGTACGTACGTACGTATGTACGTAGGTAGGTAAGTATGTGTGCATGTATGTCTGTCTGCCTGTCTGTATGTATGTACGTACGTATGTCGGAAATTGGTGGGTGAGATCACAATGGCCCGGAGACCCCAACCAGAAAATCGTTCCGTTTCGTTCGCGTCGTGCGTGCGGGCGACGCGAAGCTGCGCGGGCGCGCGAGAGGAATGAACCCGCCGCTGCTAGGGCGAAGTTAAGACAAATGATTCTCCCCCTCCCGACCGTCCGGCGGTGGCCCGCGGTGTCCCGCGGTGTCCCGCGGTGTCCCGTGGTGTCCCGTGGTGGCCGCCGCTGCTAGGGCGAAGTCAAGACAAATGATTCTCCCCCTCCCGCCCGTCTGGCGGAGGCCCGGGGTGTCCCGTGTTGTCCGTTGAATGAGATCGATCATAAAATCGATACTGAGATCGATGTGGTGCCCCGAGGTGTTCCGTGGTGTCCCCAAAAATGAAATCGATAGTGAGATCGACAGTGAGATCGACAAATGTCCCGTGGTGTTACTGAGATCGAGGTGGTGCCCCGAGGTGTCCCGTGGTGTCCCACAAAGTGAGATCGATAGTGAGATCGACAGGTGTCCCGTGGTGTCCCGTTGCATGAGATCGGTAGTGAGATTGATAATGAGATCGATACTGAGATCGATGTGGTGTCCCGAGGTGTCCCGTGGTGTCCCAAAAAAGGATATCGATAGTGAGATCGATAGTGAGATCGACAGGTGTCCCGTGGTGTCCCGTTGAGTGAGATCGATAGTGAGATCGATGTGGTGTCCCGTGGTGTCCCAAAAACGGATATCGATAGTGAATTAGATAGTGAGATCCACAGGTGTCCCGTGGTGTCCCGTGGTGTCCTGTTGAGTGAGATCGATAGTGAGATCGAGAACGAGATCGATGTGGTGTCCCAAGGTGTCCCGTGGTGCCCCGTTGAGTGATATCGATAGTGGGATCCATTGAGTCAGATGCTGGTTCCCCCCCCTCTCCCCCCCCACAACCTCCTTCTAACCCGAAGAAATCGTGTATGCATGTATGTATACATGTATGTATGTATGTATGTATGTACGTATGTATGTATGTATGTGTGTATGTGTGTATCTATGTGTGCATGCATGTTTACATGTATTACATATGTATGTATGCTTGTGCGTACGTATGTGCGCATGTGCGTATGCATGTATGTATGTATGTATGTATAATATCGGAGGTGAGGGGGTGAGATGGAAGTGGAACGGAGAGCCCCCCTACCGGGAAATCGATTTCGGTTTCGTGTTCGTGCGTGCCGTGCGGGCGAGGCGAAGCTGCGTGGGCGGGCGAGAGAAAGTCTCCTGTGGCTGACGCGCGGCCGGACCAAATGATTCCCTTCCGGGCGGCCGGGGCCCCGCGGTGTCCCGCCGGTGTCCCGCTGGTGTCCCGTGTGGCTGAGGCGCGGCCGGACCAAATGATTCCCTTCCGGGCGGCCGGGGCCCCGCGGTGTCCCGCCGGTGTCCCGCCGGTGTCCCGTCCGTGTCCCGTCGGTGTCCCGATGATGATGTTGATGATGATTATGATGATGATGGTGATGATGATGATGGTGATAATGATGATGATGTTGATGATGATGATGATGATGATGATGATGATGATGATGATGATGATGATGATGATGATGATGTTGATGTTGATGATGATGACGTCGATTGCGAGATCGATTGTGATATCGGTAGTGAGACCGAATGTGAGATCGATAATGAAATTGGTAGTGAGTTTGATAGTGAGATCGATAGTCATATCGAATGTGAGATCGATTGTGCGATTGATTGTGATATCGATTGTGAGATCAATAGCGAGACCGAATGTGAGATCGATTGTGAGATCGATTGTGAGATCGATTGTGAAATCGATAGTCAGATCGATTGTGAGATCGATCGGTCGAGGTCGATTGTGAGATCGGTAGTGAGTTCGATAGTGAGATCGATCGAGTGCGACGTTGCCCCCCCCCCCCCTCGCCTCCTTATCACCCGAAGGGTGGTCGTATAGGTATGTATACACATGTGCGTGCGTCGTCGAATGTGATTCAGCGTGTTATCGTAGCAGTGAACGATTGCAAGGTGGAACTGGGACAACTGCGGTGTTTGCTATATGGTGCATGGTATGTCGTGTAGGCTATGTGGTGTGCTATGTCGTGTAAGCCTTGCATCCTCCCGGACCGTTCAAGATGGCCCCGGGGGCCCGCAAGCGCACCCAAACGATCGAAAGGCGAAAGGAAACCTCCGAATGCCGGCAAGCAACAATAAAGCTACGGAGCACCCGGATCGACTCAGACGGCCTAGGATTGACTCCAAGACGACCCCAAAGGCTCTCAGGCAGAGGCCCCAGGCACGGCCCAAGAGGCCCCCGGCAGAAGTATCTACATTGAAAATCTGTGTGCTGGTGGCCTCGGCGTGGAAATCTGTGCGCTGGTGGCCTCAGCGCGAAGATCTTCAATGCTGATCTTCACGTTCGGGATCCCCACGGGCTTCCAGATCGCCAGAGAAACGGCGCCCCCTGGCTTTGCGCGGCGGACCCCCTCTGTGAAACGGCCCCAGGGGGGGGGGCGCGTGGGTCGAGGCTCACGCGAACAGCAATCGGAAGCCGCTCTGGGTCCGAGGCAGGCACAGGTCAGCGCAAGCAGGTCAGCGCAGGTCAACGCAGGTCTGCGCAAGTCGGCACGCGTCGGCAGCGCTCGGGCTGACCTGCGCTGACTCGCGCTGACCTTCGCTGACCTGCGCTGACTTGCGCCGACCAGCGCTGACCTGCGCTGACCTGCGCTGACCTGCTGTGATCTGCGCTGACCCACTGACGTGCGCTGACCTGCGCCTGTGAATTAGAATTACCGTCTCCGGGTGCATATGCAGCGCGTTCGCATCCAACCCGGTGAATTCACAGGGACAGGCCAGCGCAGGTCAGCGCAGGTCAGCAGGTCAGCGCATGTCAGCGCGGATATCTTGGAGGCGCATGTCAGCGCAGGTCAGCGCAAGTCAGCGCAGGTCAGCCCGAGCGCTGCCGACGCGTGCCGACTTGCGCAGATGTGCAATGTATGTTTGTGTCGTTCTTGTTTTTCGAGAGAGTCGGGGGCGCGCAAACATGGATTAGCAATCCATGGATTTGGCGCCCAGTCGCCCAATCCATGGATCGGGGGAGGCGCCCTCCTCCAAATGCGGCCGCTGCCGCCTCGTTCGGCGGCGTAAGCCCGCGACTTTCCTTGGAAACGGAACCTGTCGCTAGTGAGCGTTTTTTCATTTCGACATTGGGCGGAAGGGGGGGGGAGAGGGGGTGTCTGGCTCCGAACCTCACTGGGTCCTATGAGGGGAGAACCCACCTGCTCGAAACGGGCGCCAAACAACAGCCCAGATCTACTCTATTGGGGGGGGAGTTGGGGGGCCCGCGCCGATCGGCAGAACAACGAGTAAAAGTCAACCACCCAATCCACGCTCCCCTGATCCATGTTTGCGATCGCCTGAGAGAGAGGGCGGCGATGCCCACGTAGTCCAGCGCCCCGCTGCGGTGTCGCAGCACCACCGAGGGGGCCCCAGGCTCCAGCGGCAGCACCTTGGCCACCGCCGCGGTGCGCCAGGGTGACGCCCCTGTGGGGCGCGGGCGCGGGCTCCCTCTCCCCCTGCCTCCAAGGGGGAAGGAGGAGAGCAGGGCTGGACCCAAACGTTGTGTTTTTCGTTTCGCTGCACCTGTTGTCCTGTAGCTTCGTGCCAAAGCGAGAAACACAACACAGCCGAAGTCCAGCAAAACAGCGCTTCGGTCCAGCCCTGGAGGAGAGAGGGCGCAGCAGTTCGGATGCGTCTGTCTGCCCTGGCCCTGCGGGGATGCAACTGCCGCCCAGGCCAGCCTCGCAATGGCGGGAAGCGCCGCAAAACAAACAAGGCTTGGGAAAAACACCCTCCCTCCTCACGCGGACCAAGGGGTCCCCGACTGGAGCAAACACGGGCCTGTGGTGATCAGGGTATGACACGTCCCGTCTGCACACCCGAGCATCAGGAGCTGGCTTCAAACGCGCTTTGGCCTGCGGGCATCGGCACTTGAGTGAACCGTGGCGCCACTTTGGGGCATCCCCCGCAGCGGCCCAGCGCATATGCCGGGGAACAGGCGCCATGTGCGCCACGGGACACCGCGGGCCACCGCGGGACACCTCGGGACACAACGGGACACCATTTGGACACCACGGCGGGGCACTCCTGGCCACCGCCGGCCATCCCGGATGGCCGGCGGTGGATTCCGGGGGGGAGGGGTAGTCTTCTGGCCCTGCGGCGCCCTGGCCAGAGGACGGTTCATTCCGCTCGCCCGCCCACGCAAGTTGCCCGCACGCACGACACGAACACGAGCACGGGGGACCGATTTCCGGGTGGAAGGTCTCCGTGGTATTGTGATCTCACCCCCCGACCTCCAATCCGCGCCCTCGCGGTCTGGGTTCGGGGGCGCGATCCCGCGGACAAATGCCTCCACGGAGACGTCCCGCGCGGGGCATCCGCGTAAAAACACGCCACGTACCCGCGGGGTCGCGGCTCAAGGGCCCGCGAGGCTGCGGATGCGGATATATTCTCCGTCCACGAGAGAAGGGGAGGTTAGCGAATCAGCGTTAGGTCGGGCATGTTCTCCTACAGGCGGACTTTGGACGAAAATGAAACTATCAAAAACATGATCAAAGATAGCCAAACAAGTCGAAACATCGTCCCCAGACTTGTTTCCCAAACCCTCCTATGGTTGGGTACTCGTTTTGACTAGAGCGGTGTGGTCGCCCCGGCCTCCTTCTTCTGCTCCCCCCTCCTCCCCCCTCCTCTCCTGTTTCCTGTGTTCCCCTCTCCTCTTCTCTCGTGCCGTCGGGCTGCGATCTGCGCAACTGTCGCCACTTTCGTGGGCTCCTGGGAGGCCCAGCGGAGGTGGGTCCCACGCGGACCACCTCGGGACCTCACGGTGCCGTGGGGGGCTGCGATCTGCGCAACTGTCGTCACTTTCGTGGGCTCCTGGGAGGCCCAGCGGAGGTGGGTCCCACGCTGGCAACCTCGGGACCTCCCCGTGCCCTGGGGGCTGCGATCTGCGCAACTGTCGCCACTTTCGTGGGCTCTTGGGAGGCCCAGCGGAGGTGGGTCCCACGCGGATCACCTCGGGACCTCGCGGTGCCCTGGGGGCTGCGATCTGCGCAACCTTTCGTGGGCTCCTGGGAGGCCCAGCGGAGGTGGGTACCACGCGGACCACCTCGGGACCTCGCCGTGCCCTGGGGGCTTGGATCTGCGCAACTGTCGCCACTTTGTGGGCTCCTGGGAGGCCCAGCGGAGGTGGGTCCCACGCGGACCACCACGGGACCTCGCCGTGCCCTGGGGGCTGCGATCTGCGCAACCGTCGCCACTTTCGTGGGCTCTTGGGAAGCCCAGCGGAGGTGGGTCCCACGCGGACCACCTCGGGACCTCGCCGCCCCCTGAGGGGCCTGCGATCTGCGCAACTGTCGCCACTTTCGCGAGCTCCTGGGAGGCCCAGCGGAGGTGGGTCCCACGCGGATCACCTCAGGACCTCGCCGCCCCCGGGGGGGCCTGCGATCTGCGCAACTGTCGCAACTTTCGTGGGCTCCTGGGAGGCCCAGCGGAGGTGGGTCCCACGCGGACCACCTCGGGACCTCGCCGTGCCCTGGGGGGCTTGTGATCTGCGCAACTGTCGCCACTTTCGTGGGCTCCTGGGAGGCCCAGCGGAGGTGGGTACCACGCGGACCACCTCGGGACCTCGCCGCGCCCTGGGGGCTGCGATCTGCGCAACTGTCGCCACTTTCGTGGGCTCTTGGGAGGCCCAGCGGAGGTGGGTCCCACGCGGATCACCTCGGGACCTCGCCGCCCCCTGGGGGCCTGCGATCTGCGCAACTGTCGCCACTTTCGCGAGCTCCTGGGAGGCCCAGCGGAGGTGGGTCCCACGCGGATCACCTCAGGACCTCGCCGCCCCCGGGGGGGCCTGCGATCTGCGCAACTGTCGCAACTTTCGTGGGCTCCTGGGAGGCCCAGCGGAGGTGGGTCCCACGCGGACCACCTCGGGACCTCGCCGTGCCCTGGGGGACTTGCGATCTGCGCAACCGTCGCCACTTTCGTGGGCTCCTGGGAGGCCCAGCGGAGGTGAATCCCACGCGGATGACCTCGGGACCTCGCCGCCCCCTGGGGGGCCTCCGATCTGCGCAACTGTCGCAACTTTCGTGGGCTCCTGGGAGGCCCAACGGAGGTGGGTTCCACGCGGATTACCTCGAGACCTCGCGGTGCCCTGGGGGCTGCGATCGGCGCACCTGCCGCCACTTTCGTGGGCTCCTGGGAGGCCCAGCGGAGGTGGGTCCCACGCGGACCACCTCGAGACCTCGCGGTGCCCTGGGGGCTGCGATCTGCGCAACTGTCGCCACTTTCGTGGGCTCCTGGGGGGCCTAGCGGAGGTGTGGGTCCCACGCTGCACCTCGAGACCTCGCGGCGCCCTGGGAGGGGGGGGGGGCTGCCATTTTCGTAGGCTCCTGGGAGGCCCATCGGAGGTACGTCCCACGCGGACCACCTCGAGACCTCGCTGCGCCCTGGGGGGCTGCGATCTGCGCAACTGTCGCCACTTTCGTGGGCTCCTGGGAAGAGCAGCGGAGGTACGTCCCGCGCGGACCACCTCGAGACCTCGCGGCTCCGTGGGGGGCTGCGATCTGTGCAACTGTCGCCACTTTCGTGGGCTCTTGGGAGGCCCAGCGGAGGTACGTCCCACGCGGACCACCTCGAGACCCCGCGGCGCCCTGGGGAGCTGCGATCTGTGCAACTGTCGCCACTTTCGTGGTTCCTGGGAGGCCCAGCGGAAGCACGTCCCACGCGGACCCCCTTGAGACCTCGCGGCGCCCTGGGGGGCTGCGATCTGCGCAACTGTCGCCACTTTCGTGGGCTCCTGGGAGGCCCAGCGGAAGTACGTCCCACGCGAAACATCTCGAGAACTCGCGGCGCCCTTGGGGGGCTGCGATCTGCACAACTGTCGCCGCTTTCGTGGGCTCCTGGGAGGTCCAGCGGACGTACGTCCCACGCGGACCACCTCGAGACTTCGCGGCGCCCTGGGGGGCTGTGATCTGCGTAACTGTCGCCACCTTCGTTGGCTCCTGGGAGGCCCAGCGGTGGTACGTCCCACGCGGACCACCTCGAGACCTCGCCGTGCTCTGGGGGGCTGTGATCTGCGCAACTGTCGCCACTTTCGCGGGCTCCTGGGAGGCGCAACTGAGGTACGTCTTACGCGTTGCCGCTGCTCTTCTTGCTGCGTTCTTCTGAATTCACTGATGGGTGCTCTTCTTCTGCACTGCGGTTTTTTCCGCATGCCCGTCAGCATTGAGTGGTCCCGAATGTAACCACCACATGTATAGAAAGGGTTGGGTACGTCGCAAGGTAATTTTCCCCACCCCTCCTTGGTTGGGTATTTGTTTTGAATAGAGCACTGCTCGCGCGTCCTTCTCCCGCCTCCCGCCTCCTCCTGCCCTCTCTTCGCCGTCGATGGGGGGGCTGCGATCTGCGAAGCTGTTGCCACTTTCGATGGTTGCTGGCGGAGTGGGGCACTGCGCAGATCTGAGCGGGACGTCGCCGTCCCCGGGGGGGGGCTGTCGCCACGTTCGAAGGCTGCTGGTGGGTCCAGCGGAGTGAGGCACCGCGCAGATCTGAGCGGGACCTCGCCGTCCTTGGGGGGCTGCGAACTGCGAAACTGTCACCACTTTCGAGGGTTGCTGGTGAGTCCAGCGGAGTGAGGCACTGCGCAGCTCTGAGCGGGACCTCGCCGTCCCTGGAGGGCTGCGACCTGCGCAACTGTCGCCGCTTTCGAGGGCTGCTGGTGGATCCAGCAGAGTCCGCGCAGATCTGAGCGAGACGTTGCGGCTGCGATCTGCGAAACTGTCGCCACTGTCGAGGGCTGTGCTTGGGGGGGCAGCACAGCGACCTGCGAACCTGTCACCACTTTCGAGGGCTGCTGGTGGGTCCTGCGGAGCGAGGTACCGCGCAGATCTGAGCGAGACCTCGCCTACCCTAGGGAGGCTGCGATCTGCGAAACCGTCGCCACTTTCGAGAGCTGCTGGTGGGTCCAGCGGAGCGAGGCACCGCGCAGATCTAAGCGGGACCTCGCCGTTCTCGGGGTGCTGCGATCTGCTGAAGCTGTCGCCACTTTCGAGGGCTGCTTGGGGGGGCAGCATAGCGATCTTTGATATTGTCGCCACTTTCGAGGGCTGCTGGTGGGTCCTGCGGAGCGAGATACCGCGCAGATCTGAGCGAGACCTCGCCGTCCCCTTGGGGCTGCGATCTGCGAAACCGTCGCCACTTTCGAGAGCTGCTAGTGGGTCCAGCGGAGTGAGGCACCGCGCGGATCTGAGCGGGACCTCGCCGTCCCTGGGGGGCTGCGATCTGCGAAGCTGTCGCCACTTTCGAGGGTTGCTGGTGAGTCCAGCGGAGTGAGGCACTGACCAGATCTGAGCGGGACCTCGCCGTCCCTGGGGGAGCTGCGATCTGCAAAACTGCAGCCACTGTCGAAGGCTGCTGGTGGGTCCAGCGGAGTGAAGCACCGCGCAGGTCTGAGCGGGACCTCGCAATCCTTGGGCGGCTGCGAGCCTCAC